GTCTACAAGAAAAATAAAGACACTGATGCAAACGCCTCCTGAAGGTCACCTCTTGCAACGAATCCAACGCTCCAACGAACTGGGGTCGGTCCCATATAGTACGTTGAATCGAGGTTGTACTGTAAATCTGAGGTGGTCGGGTTGGGAGCTGTGATGATTTGGCACCCTAATGTTCTTCCTTTGGGGGGTTCGGGGCTAACAGGGCAGGTTTCTTCTCCTGCGCTTCGTCAAGTCGTCTTGGAGTGTGTGCGCTTGGGTGTGGTCAAAACGACTACGTCCCTCAGGTGGGTTTCCCGTCTGTTTCCAGTGCCGAAACGGGACTGTGCGGATCTGAGGTTCATTCTGGACTTGTCCCATCTGAACCCCTGGATTCCTTGCCTCTCCTTTCGGATGACTACTCTGTCTCAGGTCTGGCTTCTGTTGTAGCCGGGGGCCTGGATGTTGTCACTGGACCTCAAGGACGCCTATCGGCACGTTTCTATTCATCTAGGGTTCAGGGACTGGTTAGGCTTCGTGGTGGGGCGTCACGCTTACCGTTTTCGATGCCTACCTTTTGGCTTGAATCTGGCACCTTGCGTTTTCACGCGTCTGACCCGGGTTGTGGTGACCCGTCTGCGTCTTCTAGGGATTCGGGTTTTGGCCTACCTCGACGACTGGCTTGTGTGGGCTCCCAGTCGGTCAGCCTGTCTGCTTGCCAGGGATATGGTTCTTTCCCAGCTCACCAGGTTCGAGTTCCTGGTGAACTGGAGGAAGTCCCATCTGGTTCCGTCCCAGGTTCGGACCTGGCTGGACCTTGTTTGGGATTCTCGGACCGCTTCCTTGTCTCTCCCTCCAGAGGCATTGCGGCGGCTGCGGGACCGCCGTCGGCTGTTTCTGAGGGGGTCCAGGGTCACTCGGTGGTTGCTCGAGCGGTTGTGCGGGAGTTTGAACATCTCCGTGCTAGTCTATCCGTCTGGTCGGGTTTGGCTTCAGTGTCTGTTTTGGTTCCTTCGGGGACGTCCTTTCCGCCTCTCTCGCGATCGTTGGGTTCGTCCTCTGGGGGTCTTGTGTTGTTGCGGCGTCACCGGCTTCCTCTTCGGGGTTTTCGGGGTTCGGTGCCTTGGCGTCTTCCCGAGCCCTCGCTCGATATGTTCACAGACACTTCGTCTCTCGGCTGGGGCTTTGTGACCAGTGCTCACCAGGCAGGCCAGGGACGGTGGGGTCCGTCCTTCCGTCAGGCTCACAAAAGGGTTCAGGAGTTCGTGGCAGTCTGGTTCGCGCTTCGGAGGATTTGGGTCGCTCGGGGATCGACCATTCGCCTCCATTCGGACTGTTCTCCAGTGGTTCATTGCCTGAACTGCAGGGGTTCTCTTTGGTCCTTGGCTCTTTGGGGTTGGTCCCTTCGAGTGGTTCGTCTGCTGGATTCTCAGGGTTTGGCTCTCCGTGCGGTTCATGTCCGGGGAGTGTCCAACGTTCTGGCGGACGGTCTGTCTCGCTTCCATTCCCTGTCCACGGAGTGGACGGTTGATGACGACTCGTTTCGTTGGATCTGCCAGACGTACAGTCTCCCAGATGTGGACCTCTTCGCGTCGGCATGGTCTCCGCGTCTCCCAATCTATGTGACGCCCTTCCCCCGACTGCGAAGCGTTTGCAATGGATGCCTTTCGACAGGACTGGTCGAGGTGAGGTTACCTGTACCTCTTCCCCCCGGTCCAGCTGTTGCTTCAGGTTCTAGTTCAGTTGGAGACATTCCTAGGGAGAGTAGTCCTTGTGGCCCCTTAGTGGCCGGCCCTGCCTTGGTTTCCGGTGCTATTGTGCTATTGGCTCAGTGCCCGAACCCGGGATGTTTCCCGCGGCTCCGCCTCTTTCAGCAGGTCGGTCCAATCCGGTACGAGGCTGGTTCGACCTTCTCCTCTGCTCTTCAAGTCTGGTCTTTTTGGCGCGGGTGTATCACCAATTCTATGGTGATCAGGTGCCTTCGGTGATGGTGTCCCACCTGAGAGCTTCGTCTCGGCGACAGTATGAAGTTTCCTGGCGTTCTTTTCGCCATTTTCTGGCTCTTCGTAGGTTGTCTTTTCTTTCGGATAGGGTTGAGTTTGGATAGGGTTGTCTTGTCCTTTCTTTCTTTCTTGGCTTTTTCAGGACCATCATTTGATGCCTAATACTGTCATGCAGCGCTGGCGGAGCCGCTCAAGCTAGCTTTCGGGGTGGACATTACATCCGCCCCGTTTCGTAAGCTTTCCCGTGCTATGTTTCACCTCCGGCCTGCTCATGCACCTCCTGAGCCGTCCTGGTCCTTGGACAGGGTGCTCTCCTATCTTTCCTCTCCTTGGATAGTGGTGGCCCCTTCGGTACCGCATTGTTTTTCCAAGGCATTGTTTTTTGTTGGCATTGGCCTCTGGGGGCCGGGTAGGGGAGCTTCATGCTCTTCTCTGGTGCAGGGGTGTCTGCTCTTTTGGTCCTGCTCTCTGCTCAGTTTTTGTTGTAGTTTCTTACCATGTGGGGTTTATTTTGTTACGCCTACCTTTCTGGGTGCCTAACCCCAGTCGATGGCAGATAAAGAAAACCCCCAACTATAATGGGGTTTTCCAGGGCCATTGCTCCCTGAAACCTCTCTGAAGGGGCAATGTTCTGGCGCTGGTCCCTGGTAGGTCTGAACTTCATAGCTAATGTCCCGGTCTAACATAACATATATTAGCCCGATAAGCTCCAGGGAGCCTCCGGGCTCACCCAGAAAATGGCGTTTCATTACATTCAACGCTGGTTTTTTGTTTTTTGAAGTAATTATTATATATGTCGCTATGGGTCCCAAGAAAGTCAGTGGTAAAGTTCAATCTAAGAAAATAGTTGAGTAGAGGCACAAAAGGATGTCCCTTCCTCATTAAGAAAATGTGTGTAGTATGGGAAGAACTGCAAAGTTTTGTTGAAAAAACTCGCACAGATAAAGCTGTAGCAGGCCATTGCATTGACCTTTAAATGACAATGTGATGTCTTACTGCAGAGAAGTGTTAAAATGTAGGGAAAACAAGTGTCATTAGAAAAAGTCCTAGTAAGACAAGCAAGCAGTGAGCCACAACCAGGTCCTAGTGGTACTCCTGCAAAACATAGGAGAGAGTACCCCAGAGCAGTTATCACTGCCTGATGTTATTATGGAAGGGGACTCCCCTTCCAAACAGTAACACCTCTCCTCCTCTCCCCTCCTCGCCATCTTCCATACACTAACAAGAGTCCTCAATAAAGGTAAGATAAATATATGTACTGTAGTTGGAGAATTTTTTTTATTCAGTATAAAATATATTTTTAAGTTAATATTTTTGTGGTGTTTGGAAACAATTAATTCAATTACCATTATTTCTTATGGGAAAATTCGTTTTGACTTATGATGTTTTGACTTACGACCCGTCGCTGGGGACGGATTACAATCGTAAGTTGAGGCCCCACTGTATGGCGCACTTAGAAACGATGAAACATCTAAATTATTTGGACCATCTCTAAGCTCTTAAAATGTACTTTTTGGAAAGGAAATGAGAGAGGTATCAAATAATATATACAGGGAAGATACTTGAAGGCCAGGTCCCAAATTTTCTCAGTGGAATAACTACAAATTGAAATAAAAGATGTGGAAGGAATTCCAGAATAGAATCAGTGACGTGTAGAGGTGCCATAGGCACAATGAGACAACACTGAACATCAAAGGTCCACAGCTGTTCAACACCCTCCCAGCAAGCATTACAAATATTGTTGGAACATAAGTGAATGTATTCAAGAGACACATAGATAAGTTCTTACAAGAAGTGCCGGACCAACCAGGCTGTAGTGGATATGTGGGCCTGCGGGCTGCTCCATGCAACAGCCTGTTGGACCAAGTTATCACAAGTCGAGCCTGGCCTTAGGCAGGGCTCGGGGAGTAGGAAAACTCCCAGAACCCTCTCCAGGTATGCTCCAGGTAGTATATTTGGAGGTCATCTGCTCATCTCGTGTGCTCAATGTTATGTTTTGATTTCTTACAACACCCACCAGAACTGCTTATTGGTTCTTTATGGTGCATAAAAATGTTGATGAATATATATATGATGTGTGCATGTTGTATAATAATAGAAAAACTGTATTGACAAAGGTCTGCACAAGTTAAAATTGTTCTTTTGCCTGTAAAAATTTTACTTATGGCAGTAAAACTAATGCTAAATTTTGTTTGACATCGTCAGCATGGGTACTAACTCTAGTTTTAGCATGTATTTTTACAAGGCTAATTTACCTAACTCATTCATATCTTTAGCATGTTTAACCTCTCTTATAACAATCTAGTGATCCTATGTCTATTATAATAACCAATAATTGTTCCATAAATCAACAACCCAGATTTCACAACCCTGTTCCACAACCTTGTCAACAACCCTGTTTCACAACCAGTAATTACCCAGGTCTGTTCTAAATATAAATGTTCAAGACATGTATCCATGTCTTGTGTTGTTTTGTCTTGATATATTTAACATTTTGTGTTCTATTTTATCCTGATATATTTAATACCTTATTAATATCTCTCTTGTTATTCCCTTTCATCCATTTATTGTTTTCTTCAGTTGTCACCCCTTACTCTTCACCTTTTCAGAGCATGGGTATTGAATTTTCTTGATCTCTTCATAGGGGAGGTTTCCAATTCCTGGTATTAACTTTATAATCCTTCTATGCACACGCACACATATCAGTGAACTGATGCCCATTCTATAATATGGCGCTCTAAACTGAAATACATAACGTAAATGAGGTAATAGAACGCAGAAGAATATCATTAAACACCTTATTTCAAATGCTGCTAGAAATATATCCCAGTATCCTATTTGCCTTATCTCGTTCATTTATACATAGGTTTTGTTGGCTTAAGATCCCCTATCTTGTACTTTAGGTACAAAATTGTACAATTAGGTACTTGGTAGTTAGAAAACTATTGTACTTGCCTGTTGTGGGTTGTCTCATTGGGGAGGGGTCAAATGTAATTGAAAATATTTCATTGTAATTTGCAGAAGCCAGTGGATATGTACATTCTGAGGCCGGAGAGGGAGAAATCGATGATAATGATAAGTCCCTGAAGAGCACACCAGACAGTGAAGGGGTAGGTAGATGCAAGGAGACAGCAAATATTGCCATAAATGCAGTAGTTGTTTTACAGAATGCTCCATTAGCGATTTTTACAGTTATTAATATTTTCCTCAATAGTCATGTCACTCCCAATATGTTATCCTAATGAACTGAATTATTTTTAATTTGAGCATATATTTTGATGAAATGATGAAGGGCACCTATATTAGTGAATTTTACAATATTATACTGTATTTTCTCTAAGGGTGGCAACTGCAGCTCATCCATGTGTCAGGATATCCTGGAGGCCACCTGGGGTAAAGATGAGGAAACCAGGATCAAATCTCCCACACTTATGGGTAATTAGTTGTTCAATAAATCACGTTATTTTGGTTTTACTATTGGTTTCTGGGAGGACGTCTGATGTAGCTTTCCAGTACAGTAATTACCTAAGTGTAGTTACAGGATGAGAGCTACGCTCGTGATGTCCTGTCTTCCCAGCACTCTTTGTCATATAATGCTTTGAAATTACTGATGGTTTTGGCCTCCACCACCTTCCCACTTAACTTGTTCCAACCGTCTACCACGCTGTTTACAAAAGTGAATTTTCGTATATTTCTCCGGCAGCATTGTTTCGTTAGTTTAAATCTATGACCTCTTGTTCTGGAAGTTCTGGGTCTCAGGAATTCTTCCCTATCAATTTTATCGATTCCTGTTACTATTTTGAACGTAGTGATCATATCGCCTCTTTTTCTTCTATCATCTAGTTTTTTCATATTTAATGCCTCTAACCTCTCCTCGTAGCTCTTGTCTTTCAGTTCTGGCAGCCACTTAGTGGCATGTTGTTGCACCTTTTCCAGTTTGTTGATGTGCTTCTTAAGATATGGGCACCATACAACCGCTGCATATTCCAGCTTTGGTCTAATAAAAGTCGTGAACAATTTCTTTAGTATTTCTCCATCCATGTATTTAAAAGCAATTCTGAGGTTAGAAAGTGTAGCATAGGCTCCTCGCACAATGTTCTTAATGTAGTCCTCAGATGACAGTTTTCTATCTAGAACCACCCCTAGATCCCTTTCTTTATCAGAATTCTTTAAAGATTTCTCACATAATTTATACATTTTGTGGGGTCTATGTTCTCCCATTCCACATTCCATAACATGGCATTTATTCACATTAAATTCCATTTGCCAAGTGTTGCTCTATATACTTATTTTGTCCAGGTCTTCTTGAAGGGCATGACAATCATCTAGGTTTCTTATCTTCCCTATTATCTTAGCATCATCAGCAAACATGTACATGTAATTCTGTATTCCCACTGGTAGATCGTTTATGAAGACAATGAACATTACCGGTGCAAGAACTGAACCCTGTGGTACTCCACTTGTGACATTCCTCCAATCCGATACCTTGCCTCTGATTACGGCCCTCATTTTTCTGTCAGTTAGGAAATTTTTCATCCATGTTAGTAGCTTACCTGTCACTCCTCAAATATGTTCCAGTTTCCAGAAGAACCTCTTATGGGGAACTCTGTCGAAAGCCATTTTTAGGTCCAGATAGGACCTAAAAATGACCTAAATGGTTGACCTTTAGGTCAACCCAACCATTTCTTTGCAGTAATATCTCTGTTGCTCGATCTTAGAAACTGAGTAAATTCGATACACAGGATCTTCCAGATCGAAAACCATACTGTCTTTCTGATATTATATAATTTCTCTCCAGGTGTTCTACTCATTTAGTTTTAATTATTTTTTCCAATATTTTTACTATTACACTTGTCAATGATACAGGTCTATAATTAAGGGGTCTTTCCTGCTTCCACTTTTCTAGATTGGAACTATGTTAGTCTTTTTCCACACTTCAGCTACAACTCCTGTACACAGGGATGCCTGAAAAATCAGTTGAAGTGGAATGTTGAGCTCAGGTGCACATTCTTTCAGAACCCATGGTGAAACTCCATCTGGACCAACTGCTTTGTTCTTACTGAGCTCCTTGAGCATTTTTTCCACTTTGTCTCTAGACACCTCTATGTGCTCTATGTTGTTCTCTGGAATTCTTATTGTGTTTGGTTCCCTAAAGATTTCATTTTGTACAAACACACTTTGGAACTTTTCGTTTAGTGTTTCACACATTTCCTTTTCATTTTCCATGAATGTATTTCCCATTTTCAACCTCTGAATATTATCCTTTACCTGCAATTTGCTGTTTCTGTGGGGAGCCCCTACGGCTCCCTGGAGCTTATCGGGCTAATGTGTGTTATGTTAGACCGGGACATTAGCTAAGGAGTTCAGACCTACCAGGGACCAGCGCCAGAACCTGGCCCCTTCAGAGAGGTTTCAGGGAGCAATGGCCCTGGAAAACCCCATATGGTTGGGGGTTTTCCTTATCTGCCATCGACCGGGGTTAGGCACCCAGAAAGGTAGGCGTAACAAAACAAACCCCACATGGTAAGAAACTACAACAAAAACCGAACAGAGAGGTAGAAAACTCCCTACAATCCCAAGGAAACAAGCAAACAAGCAAACATCACACTTTACTGCCGCGCCGATCGTCCGCGCAGCCCTCCCCACCCCGGGAGGGGGAGGGGGGAGCCCCGGACCTACCGCGCCGGCTGCCAAGCTCCAGTTCGTTCGCTAATGTCAACCGGGATTGACGCTTCTCTGGCCTCAGTTTCCTAGGCGGTGTTTGCCTTGTGTGGCGTTCACTGCCGTGTGTTGTGGTGTGCGGTGGCCAGGAGTACTTCATCAGTGCCGGGGCTGCATGTGCTTAGTGGCTGACTTCCCTAAGTGCCCTGTGAGTACTGCCCTTGCGTTACAGGGTTATCTTCCCTGGGGCGTTCGGGAACCATTCCCGTAGAGGTTCTTGCTGCTCGGCATTTGCCTCGCCCTTGGGGCCAGCTGGGGCTTGGGGCCCTTGTTTGGCCCTGGGTAGGGATTGGTATTGTGCTGGTTAGGGCGTCAAGGTGTTGCGCAGCCTGCCACCTAAGCGGCGGCCGGTTTCTGTTGCCTCTGGAGACGGTGTACTTTTGCGGGGTTTTTCTTTTGTTTTTCATTTTCTTGCCTGGTGGGGGTCTGCCTAAGGTGGTTATAGTTCCACTGGTAGTGTTTGGCGGCCCTCTGCTAGGCCCCCGTGCTTGTACACGTCTCGGGGGTTTTCAGTGCTATAATCTACCCTCTTGTTATGTTTGGGTTTCTTAACCGGTTAGCAACACCTTGCCCGGGCTTCCCGTAGTTGTTACCCTACGGGCCCTGGAAACCCCTGTCTGGGCTCGGGGGACCATTGAATGTGTCTTCCGGGTTCCAACCCGTCTTGTACGGGATCGTTGGTTGCTGTTCCCTTGTCTCCGGGTGACAGTCGCCATTTTTACCTCCGTCATGCTGCCTGTTGGGTCACTGACACCTTGACCCGGAGTCTTGCGAGTGATTCTCTGCTTGTTCTCCAGTACTCTCCTGATGTTATTACTGTTCAGAGTACAGGCGGCATCCGTGTTGCAAGCTAGGTTAGGTTGTTGCAACATGCTAGGTTGGTTTCCCACTCGAATGCCCCGTGGCCGCCCCGTTTGGTTAGGTGCTGCTCGCCCCTTTCTCTCCATGTTCCCGGCTCCGGACCGTCTGCGTGTTCTGGGTCGGGGCGGGGTTCAGTTGCGGCAGAGACTCGGGCGGTTTTCGGGGGATGCCCCGTTCGGGTTGGGGACGGAGGTTTGAGCCTGTGCCTCCTGCCAAGGCTTCTGGGTCTTACCAGCGGCCCTTTCTTGTTGCCTTTCCCATGGGCTCTTGCTTTTCTTTACGGGCGGAGGGCTTGGAGGACGGCTCTGCCCCGGGGCCTCTGTTGTTGGTTCCCGGGGCTGTGGGGGATGCCTACTAGCAGTTCTGGGGCGGTTTTGCCCCTTCAGGGGTTTTTTCTGCTGTTGGGCGTCGTTTTTCGCCCTTCCAGTCTGCTAGCTTCCCACATTTGCTGGCGTGTTTTTGTGTATTAAGCGTCAGTCACAGCCCCTGCTGGCGGCCATTTTCGTCTGCCGGTTTCCCGGCGTGGCCACCAGGGCGGCGTTGCGGTTTGTTTACATGCGTCTGGGTGTGCGAGCGAGCGTCTCTGGTAAGTTTTCAAAAAATTTGCAGGGTTTTTGTTCTCCTGTTGTCGTTTCTTTGTTTTCTGGCGTTTTCTTGCCGTTGCCTGTTCCTCTGGGAACGTTTGGGTGTTGATTTTGGGTCTGAGCCTCTGGGTTTAGGCTCAGTGCCCCTGGCTGGTATGCTTGCTCCCACACCTTGCCCCTCGGTTTTCGGTCGGTTGGGACCGTTTTCCCAGGACGTTCTGCTGGGGTCTGTGCTTTGCCTTTTAGTGGTGTTCTCCGCCGGCAAATGTGGTGGTTTGGGCTCCCCCTGGTTCGATTCTGGGTTCCTTTGGGTTCCTTGGTTTCGTTCTGGAGGTTTCTTCCTCTTGGGCCCCCGTTTGTGGGTTCAGGGGACTTTGTTTCCTCGAGTGACCCGGTTCTGCCTTTTGGGGTTCCGGGGTCTTCCTGGCTTGCAGACTGAGCTTTTTGGGTCTTGGCACATGTTGTGGTTGTGCTGGGACTTTGTGGTTTTGCTGTCGAGGTGGGCCTTTTGATGCAGTTTTGTGCCTTCTTTGCCTGGCCGGCGTAGTGCTCTTTGCCACTAGTCGGCGGCTTGTGCTTTTACAATATATGTCCTCACCTAGTTGTGCTTGTGGGGGTTGAGCTCTGGCTCCTTGGTCCTGCCTCTCAACCGTCCGTCAACAGGTGTATCGGTTCCTGTGCCTCTTGGGCTCTGTCATGTCTACATGTGACATTGTATGGGGGTCAGCCTCGTTACTTGTGTGAGGAGTCGCCACATTACTTCTTAGTGCTTTCCCGTTCCCATTCTGACACTTAAAAAAAAAAAAAAAAAAAAAAAAAAAAAAAAAAAAACTCTATCTGTGGCTCTTTTGGGTACTCAGTTTCCACCTGTGTCCCCTAGTGCGTGTGCCCCTTGTGTTACATATCCTGTCCTTCTCAACCCTGTCGATTCCCTTGGGTATCTTGTATGTGGTGATCAGGTCTCCCCTCACTTCCTCTTCCAGCGAAGTGTGGTTTCATTCCCGTAGTCTCTCCTCATGACTTCGGTAGTGTACTTTTTCTTTCTGAAGGGGTTCTGTTCCCTTCTCTGTTGACTGGGCGCTGGGGGAGCAGCTTGCTCTGTTGCCTCTCGCTTGGTCCCGCTGTTGGTGGGCGCTTTGGGTTGTCTTCCGGCCTCTGCTGGCGTCGGAGGACGGCTTCTCCCCCTTGGGGGGGGTTCAGAGCTGGCGGGGTGGGCTTCTTCCCTGCGCTTCGTCATTTCCTCTTCGTGGGTGCGTGGGGCGTGGTCGA